TTCTGCAGATCTTGCGTTTTTGCGTTTTTTCCACCATTCCGCCAGATCTAAATTTTTAGATTAATTTTATATCATTTCCATTTATGTATTCATAACTGTAAGAGAAAAAAAATCCATTAATGAACATAAAGTTATCTAGTCTACTAGAAATCAAAGAAATTTAATTGAACTTTTTTTAAATCAAAGGGGTAAAGAAAATTAAATTTAGATACACCTCCCTCGCTCACATAATATTTTTTTCCGACTTCCAAATTTATGTGTAATATATACTAAATTAAGATATGCATAATAGAACTACATTCACACATTAACATAATATTTTGTTGATAAATTGATACTATTCTGAAAAGAAAAACAAATTAAAAATTTAGTTAACTATTTTTGTAAAATAATTAGATATATGAAAAATAGAACTACATTCACATATGAAAATAAAATTAATGGAAAATGATACAAAAATAGATTTCAAAAATTATAACTAAACAACTGGTATGAATAATTACTCAGGCCCATCACACTTCCTTGCAGAAATAAATATTCTTCTGTACAATGTTTACAAATATAAATTCATTAAAAATTCATATAAACTCTTCTGTTACATTCCTGTAAACTGAGACATTTCCTTGTTACGAGATCAGATCTTTTGCACCTGAGATTCAGTCTAAACTCAGCCACGAAGTCCATTGACAGACTGTGGAGGAGCTGAGTTTCTTCTCCGGTCTGTCTTAGGTAAGTGTTTAGACATTATGGATTCCTGCATTCATAAAGAAAAACAAATTTTGTAATGTTTCTGGACGATTATAGTAATTGAGAAATCCAACAAGAATGCTTTATAATCATTACCTGTTCTTGAATTATGCTGCGTGCCTCGACTAGTTGTGCTTCAAGTTCAAGCTCTCTCTCTGTGGCTTCTGAAGTAATGGTTACTTCTTTTTGTGCGTCTACTAACTGACCCATACGTTCCTACATTGATACACATGAAAGCTATAATAACATAGCTCGAAAATGTAACTTCTGATTATAAATTTGCTACCTTGATGGAAACCATCTTAGAGCGTAAACTATCTTCTATTTGACCTCGAGCCATACGAAAAGGTAGGTCGAAAACGTCCTGTCAATACAATATTCTTTCTTGTTGAAAACATATCGATGTTTTGATTTATGTATGCAATGAGGAATCAATTGAATCTTGATTTAGCTTATAATGAAGTTTATGTACCGTCTTCCCGCCCAAAGGAGACTGAGAAGGGTCTAAGCTCTGTCTTCCATTAGCATTCAAGAAAGAACGCATGTCTCCCTGTAAAAAAAAAACGATCATAGTCTTCAATAAGAAAAGATCATAAAAGAAATTTCATATGAGAGAAATAACCTGTGTGGATCGAAGTAACGCTCTCAAATCCGTGTTCTCTGCCATCAGTTCTTGATTTTTCGACTCATATGCATCCACCTGAACAAGATCATATTGTACCAATCTTATAAAGTGCATTCATCGAATATAAGGGCATGAGAAGCTAATATTGTCCATAGGTGGTTACAATCTTTTTGTAGAAATCAGAGTCAGCCTTCTTCCCGCTCCATGTTCCACGTTGTCTCCCTTCTTTCTATGCATATATAAACAAGAAAAACGTTCATCAAGTCAAAAGCTGTTGCTCTCGATAATAGTCATTTCAACAACTCAAGTAGTACCTGGAGTAGATTCATAATCTCCATGCCTGATCTCGTTTCCTTCTTTTTCTCCATCAACACTTGGTTTAACCTCTCCTAAAACAAAAATCAAAACTCTCCATGTTTCAGTACGCTAAGATTGTTCATACACTTAAGAGTGTGAGCCCATGCATACCTGTAGCTTTATGTACTCTTTTTCTTTTTTCTTTGTTTCATGTAACTGTTGAGTCTTGACTTGCTTTCATTGTTCAAATGAAATCGCATTAGCATAATCATTACCTGAAATCTAACTGGTAAAAGGAAGCTAATGATCAATTATCAAACCTGGTTAGCAATCACCATCCTCTGAAACTCATCTCTCTCTTTCTGTAGCTTCTCATTATGAGCCTTTAAAGCCGCTGTGTTCTTGGCTTCCGTTCTTGTGACCGAACCAAGTTCCCTCTCCTTGGATTGCAATTGACTCTCAAGCCTCTCAACTTTTGCCTCGAGCCTCGCCATGTCAGATAAAAGTCTGAAGTAAAAAAAAAGAAATGTTCTCAAGCAGACATACAAATGCAACAAGAGCAGCACTTTCTGTAACTTTAATGTCAGAATGTTTTTGTCTCCTCTTTCCCACCCACAAAAGGATTTTACAAACACTATACTCTAAACACACACATAAAACCAAAAACAGTAACAAGATTCTTCTTCATCTACACATCTAATAATTCACAATGCACAGAGAGAAAATTAGAGAAAGAAAAGATTTCAGGTAACGACAAAATAGTCACCGTTGTCTCTGATCATTAGCAGATTCTCTGAATTCCACATCTCGCTGCCTTTGCTGAATCAAAGCGTATATGCAATTGCAAGTTCTCGCGATCGAAACCTAATCACAAGTTTATCGAATCAGGCTCATGAAAAATAAAATAAAAACCTTTAATTGGTCAATTAAGAAAAGAAAAAAAACCATGAATCGGAGAATTATTGAAGAGAAAAAGACGCACAGGATCGGTAGCGAAGAGGTCGAGCGAAGCGGAGAATCCATAAGTGACTAAGCTCTGGTTTAAGTACTTTACACAGTGCTCCAGATTATCGACATCGGCAAAACTATGCTCCCTGATCGATAAACAGAGTCAAATCTCCTAAATCGAAGCAGAAGAGGAGCAAAACCCTAGAAATGACGAGAAAACTCACCCGATCGGCGAAAAACCAAATTGAGGCGTCAACTGCAGGAACAAGAAGGGACGATGAACCTTAGAGAGATAGAAAATCGGAAATTTTACGAAGCAGTGTCAGGAATTGAGAGAGACAGAGAGAGAGAGAGAGAAGTACTCTGAAATCGAATTCCGGCACAGTCAATGACATCGTTGACCGCAGTACACGACGGAGCCGCCGTAAAGTTGACGCCGGAGAAGTAGGAAAAGACAAATTTAGCTTTTCACCGAAAAGTATAAAAAAAAAAAAAAAGTTAGTCAAAAAGAGAGAGTGAATGTGTGTCTCTCTCGGATAGATCTATCTTGGGGAGTGAGCAGAGATAAAAAGAAGAAAATAAAAATTAAAATGAAAATATTTATATTTGTTTTAATTGTGTACGTTACGGTGCACTCAATTATTCCGTGTTTCTTCACGGGATTAGTTAGTGATAGGATTAGTTTCCCGTGTTTGCATACGTGGCTTACTATAAGTGGTTGTCTTTAGTTTCTTTGGGTCTATCGCATTACTCAGTATAACATTCGATAACTAATTTGCTGGATTATTGGGCGGGAGATGCCACGTAAGACTAGCACCGTTTACTCTAGTTCGTTAGAGTCGTGCCGAGCAATATCTTCTTTAATATTATTTTTACAAATTAAAATGTTCCGTAGTATAGACTTTTAGGAGTAATCACTTAAATATTATTGATCTTTCAATGTATACAGTGATGTATATTAACAAAAAAAGAATGTATGTACAGTAAATATTATGAATTTTTTAATCATTTATAAAAATTTCAATTAGTTAAAAAATCAATTTTAGAAGCTGAAAGTCTATTACTTTATATAATTTTTTACTATATATTTATCGATGATTATGATATTATCATACTGTAACTCGTTCTCTAATGTAGTTTTACACACGTGATGCGTTTGGATTAGAAAAACAATATACTAAAGACAATTCAAAACTGCAGTCACGATTTTCCTTCAAAAAGAGTAAAATTTGCAACTTTTTGAGAAGAAATCGAGTAAAATTAGCAAAGGCTGACCTGAATCCACCAATGATTGTTGCATCTCACAAACTCAAGATTTGTCCTTTGGTACAAGAGAATTTAAATAAGACAAAATTTTCAATCCAACTTTCAGAGATAATGTTATTTATCAACAAACATTTTAAGAGATGGTGTGTGTAATAACAAAGAATAGTATATTTTGTAACCTTTTTCTTCTCGATAAGCAACATTACAAAACCTGATACAAACTGCAAAGGGAAGCCCATTAAAGTAAGATAGCATTAGTATCTTGCATAACAAGTTTTAGAATGTTATTGCACACAAGAAACATTTGCATTCGTTACTAAACCATAAAAAATAAACATGTAGGCTATACGAGACCACTCACAAATCATCTATCCATCAGAAAAATAACCTTCTTATACCTAACCAGCCATGGAACTTGCGTTAAAGAATCAGTATGCTCCTCCTCGTCTTCTCTTTTGCCCTAATGCAAAATTTCAAAACAAGGAAGAAGAGTTTCGCTCCATTCAATTCGCAGAGTCACCAACTCGACCTAGCTTCTCCGATTCCGAAGATGACCCATCAACGTCAACACATATTCGTCCTTTAGATTGGTGCAACAACTTAGAGGATAGACACGAGGATATATTATTTTGCTATGTTTGCAAGGAACGAATAGTCACTACCCCGTTCTATTCATGCAAAGGGTGTCCATCATACCTTATTGGCTACCACAAAGAATGTATCCAGCCGATATCAAAGCACCCATATCATCCTAAACATTCTCTCCGGCTTAAATCTTATCAAGGTAAACAAGGAAAGATATGCTCATGTTGTTTAGAATTAAGAGATTGGGTTTATAGTTGCTCTATATGCGACTTTCTTATGTGTCAAGATTGTGCGAGAATGCCACCAGTCCTTTCGATATACCATCCGAAAAGGCATGAGCATACCCTCTCCTACTTTCCTAGGACTCAATGAATTGTAACTTATGTGCGTTGAGCGATTGTAGGTCTTTGATGTATTCATGTAGTCAATGTGATTTTATAGCCCACAAAGATTGTCTCTACTTGCCATGCATCATAAGAATATCGCGCCATGAACACCGTCTCTCTTTCAGTTCTTCACTCACTCCTGAAAAATGGTTGTGTGGAGTTTGTCATGAAAAGATAGACACAAATTATGGAAGATATTCTTGTGTGAAGGGTTGTAGTTATGGTGTTCATCCTACATGCGCGACACGAAAAGATATATGGGATGGAAAAGAACTTGAGGGAACATCAGAAGACTTATATGAAGATGTTGAGTCGTACAAAGAGATAAGTGCTGGAATTATACAGCATTTCATTCATCAAAATCATCATATGAGACTAGACGAGGAAACCGATAGGGCATTTGACGAGAACAAACGTTGTCAAGCATGTGCACTTCCTATCTTTAATGATATTATTTACCATTGCATGCAATGTGATAACTTCGTTCTCCATCAAACATGTGCAAATCAGCCTCGGAAGAAACAACACGCGACGCATCCTCATTCCCTTAGTCTACGAGTGGATCATGAAAAAGGTTGGTTCAAATGTACAGCTTGCGAACGTAATGGCAATGGTTTCATGTACATTTGTTGTGAGAAGGATTGCGATTTCACGTTAGATGTACGTTGCGCTTCTGTGTCAGAGCCATTTGATCATCAATATCATCCGCATTCTTTGTTTCTTACAACTGAACCTCAAATGCTTGAGTTGTGTTCGATTTGCCTAGTATATAAATATCATCCTCTAAACTGTACAGACTGTGGTTTCTTTGTATGTTTTGGATGCGCCACTTTACCTACTAAGTTGAGGTACAAGCATGATGAACATTTTCTCATATTCTATTATGATCAAGATACAAATCTTCGTTTTGTTTGTGAAGAAGAAGCAGATCCGGAGAGTGGACTTTATATGTGCAATGTTTGCAACGTCACACTGCATATAAACTGTGTTCTTGGAGACATGTATATGATGCATGGTGGAATAATCAAAATAAGTAGAGTAAATGCTAATATTTTTCTTGGTAAAAGTCTTACTCAAGGAAAAGTAATATACAAAAAGTCTGATAGAGAAATATTTTGCTGTTTTTAACAGATCTAAGAACAGAGTACCCAAGAACAGAGCACACTATATATAAAAAAAATATTCTCTTTTATTGATGTTTAGAAAGTATAACTCAAAAACTCAACATCTTCGTTCTCCATATCAATGTCACAGCTCGACATTGGTATTTATAGTCTTGACACACATTGCCAATCATATTCTATTGAATTAGCTAACTCTTAATTACAATAGAGTTCCCTTAAGTCTATCTTATCCTAACCATATTAGATTTGGCATCTTAGACTTAAGATAATGTTTGAAGCTTATCCAACATTCTCCCTCTTAAGCTTCAAATCGGTCTTGGACATGTCTTCTACACCAATCAACTCTCTCATTTCTTTAAATTTGATTCCCGCCAATCTCTTGGTGAGAATGTCCGCCTTTTGTTCAGTCCCCGGAACATGCTCCACATCTACAACGTCTCTTTCTATACACTCTCGTATAAAATGATAACGTTTATGAATGTGCTTGCTTTTGCCATGGAAAACAGGGTTCTTCGTGAGAGCTATATCGGACTTATTATCAATCTTGATAACGATCTGCTCAGCCTTCCAACCTGTAATTTCGTTGAGGATGTCCTGCAGCCAAATCGCTTGTTTAGCTGCTTCCGTTGCAGCCATGAATTCTGCTTCACATGATGATAGAGCCACCGTGTCCTGCTTCTGAGATTTCTTGATTTTATTGCTTTCCAAATTCCCTTAGGAGATTCTTGCTCACCGACTTGTAAGATTAAGGCCTCCAGGATTGACTGAAACAATAAACCTATTGCGATATCATTCTTCTCGAGAGATAGAGAACCAGGTTCAATAGTCTCCCAAACTTTGTGAATTCGCAGGAGGATTTTCATTCTCATGGCCCAAACCGTATAGTTAGTTGCGGTTAACATGGGACATTGAATGGAAGAAGGAATTACATCCTTTGGGCGGGCAGGAGGATTGACATCACCCATGTCTCGGTTCTGTCTTCTCCCTCGGTTGCCTGCAGTCTCTTGATCAAGCTCCTGTCAATAGATCTTGTCCTACAGCTCTGATACCAAATAACAGATCTAAGAACAGAGTACCCAAGAACAGAGCACACTATGTATAAAAGAATATCTCTCTTTTATTGATGTTTAGAAAGTATAACTCAAAAACTAAACACCTTCGTTCTCCATATCAATGTCACAGCTCGACATTAGTATTTATAGTCTTGACACACATTGCCAATCCTATTCTCTATTGAATTAGCTAACTCCTAATTACAATAGAATTCCCTTAAGTCTATTTTATCCTAATCATATTAAATTTGACATCTTAGACTTAAGATAATGTTTGAAGCTTATCCAACAGTTTTTAATGTTGCTTTATTTTTACACTTATAAATACGACTATACACGGGCTTGAGATGCTTTTTAAAAATATTTTATTGTTATTGTAGTATTTTGTAATGTGATTGTGTATGTATTATGTAGTTTTGAAATTTTTATTAAAAAAAAAAACAAATCAAGAAACATTATTATCGAGTCAGCGTCATTGATATGTTTTTTTTTTGAAGAAAATGAAAAATTAAATCAACAAAAAAATGCATCATTTGTTTCGGGGCACTGAGAATAAATCAATTACAATCAGATAAGAGGAAAAAATAAATTTGTTAAAATAAAGGTTCTACCGAGAATTGAACTCGGGTTACTGGATTCAGAGTCCAATGTCCTAACCGCTAGACCATAGAACCATTTTGTATAGGTTGGACATGTTAAATACTTTAGACGTTTCAAGACGACGACGAACTCGATTCGAGTGAACGGTGAGATATTAGGAATCGAATCAAGTGAGGATTTTAACTTATTTTTATTGTAATCCTTCTATTTTACTGGAACCAGAAAATTTACAAAAAAAAAAAAAAAACAAAATTACGATTTTTATCGTGGAATATTTCCTATCAATATGCTCATATGAATTTCCCATAAATCAGCCTGATCATAGTACATACCTTATTTTAATCCATTTGTGGAATTTACAAATGGGACAAATCGCACAACTCAGCACATTTTTTCAAATGTTTTATATATATATATATATATATTAAAGAGACATTCATACTCAAATAAATTATAAACTTAACCGAAAAAGAACGGGAAGAGATGGAGTATCTTCAATCTTTTACATTATGGAAAAGTAATATAATGAGTAGTCAGTCATTAACATTTGTTTTCTTAGACATTGGAGAATCCTTTTGGAAGGTTGGATATGTTTTTAGCCTTCGCTCTAGAATATATTACTTTTTCATTCATTTTCATTACCTTTCACTTTCACTCACATTTCCACACTATATACATTTTTTTGTCAAATAAGAAAATGGGACCGTATGATTTATTTGTATAACTCATTCAAGAATAATCAATTTTTGTATAACTTTTGTATATATATTTTATCACCAAATTATGATCCGAATAACAACAGTTATGCAGGTGAAATTTAAAATGCGGTGGTTTTGTTAATTAATGTTTTCATTATCAACTGCAAACATATTTTATACTTCTATAGTTGTTGAATATTTCATTTGTCCATTCGGCTATTGATGATTTGCTTTTAATGTAATCCTTCTCTTTTACTGGAACCAGAAAATTTACCATAAAACAAAAAGTTATGGTTTCTAAGTATTATTCTTCTTCTAATAATGCGCCCAATGGTCATGCTCAACTTGACCTTGATCGAATTTTAATGTCATTAATAATGCAGAATTTATAAAGGACGAACAAGTAAGTCTATGGTCTATTTTGGGACAGAGAGCAGGTGGATGAATAAATAGTGGAGTCGAAATAGATAAGATGGAAAATAACTACGTGGGAAGATCACCAAGTCCAATAATCCAAACGGTTAAAACGCGGCAAAAATAACAGTCCTAACGTGATGAAACCATAATGTTAAACCATTACAATAAACCAGATACAATAATAAATAGTTTTTCTAGAGTTAGTTTTAATAATATAAAAATTTGAACAAAAAAAAAGTTTAAAAAATATAAAAGGTCTAAGAGAGGATTATGGAAATGTTGGTTTCATACTTTGCAATAGTTTCTGAGTGGAAGTGTTACTTTAACAATTTGCAATATATCTTAGTACAGAAAATATTACATACGTGTTCCCATCTTTGGTAACCTATAGATCAATCTTCAATTTTTGAAGGTTTATTTCAGGATTGAGTAAAAAAAAGAGAAGATTAGCTCACCGAACATTAATTAAGGCAAACGTTTGCCGAGAAAGAGATTGCTTCGAATATATTAAATCAATGTGAATATTGTGAGGGGTGGTCGAGTTGTGCGTTCGAATCATGCAAACGTCGTCGAAGAATATGGGATTTTAAGGATTTGTATATCATTATTTTATTTATTTGGATCTTTTTTTATCGTCTTTTTCGTCACATGACATCATTACACCTCAACAAGCTTTCATATACAGTAGAAACTTTATAAATTAATAATATTGTGACTTCGATATTTTATTAATCTATAGAGTTATTAATTTATCAGTTTTGGATAAAATAAATTATTTATTAATAATTAATTAAAATAATATTTTCTTTTAAATTTATAATATTTTTTCAAACTTTTTATTATAAAATTATAGATAAATGATAAAAATATTTTAACTTTAGTAAAAAAAACAACAATATACTTAGATTTAATAGATTATCATTACTATATAATTATATAAAATTATTTTATATGATATTTATTAATTTATGATATAAATAGGAATAAATTTTACATAAAGTTTCAAAAAATATTATCTTATTAATTTATTGATTTATATTAAATTTTGGATCGGTCTAACTCGGGACCGAATAAAAGTATTGATTTATCGAATTTATTAATTTATTAAATATTAATTTATAAAAATTTCTACTGTATTACATTTTTGAAAATGTAATATGTTTTAAAAGTTGTTAACAGAAGTTTTTACTTAAATTTATTAATATATATATATATATTATTTTTTAAAGACACCTATCAAAAGTGTCTCCATTGTATGCTCTAAAACAACAAAATATTACAAAGTGTCTTATATACAAAAAACACACAAAATATTAATAATTAATCAATAAGACATCCACCAATAGTATCTCTATTGGGCTTGCTTAAGACATGAAGATACCTTAATCATAACACACATTCTTTATTTAAAATAAATAAAGAAAAGAAAGAAAGTGGTACTACTATAGTCCCGAACTTGCAAATTATTCCCATAATAGTTAAAACCCCTTAAACGTCGTCTATCAATAATTATTGACCATCCGAGAGTGACTCACTCATATCTGTATCATTAATGTGATGGGCTCGTTCTTCAAATCCCTCGCAATACCTTCCAGAATCCTCTTTATCTTTTTTTCGAAAGATTCAACCTCCCACTCTTTGGTTTCGCAGCGTAGATTGTTTTCTTTGACGTATAATTTATACGTACACATTTATTATACGTGCACATGGTTGGGAAATATAATTAGTATAACTTCTTTTAATTGTATCAATAGATCTTTACGTACGTACTTTTTGATCCATGGCTGCATGCTTACACATTTTCTAATTTTATATAATTTAATATAACATCTTTTGTATATATATATATTAATGATAGTTATAACTAATACTATTAGTTAAGTAAATGCTAAACGAGATTTTGACATTTTATTTATTCGGTAAAAGGTTTTCCACGTACTCGACTCGCCTCCTATGACACTCGATCATGTACACTTTATAACTCGTCTGTGTGTATATATATATATATATATATATATGTGTTTAGCCATACGAAAAAACATTAGTGTATAATTTTTCAATCTAACGGTTCAAACGGCTCTGCTCAGTTTAATTTTGGGAACAATATATAACATGACATCCAACAACTAATTTGAAATTATATTTTCTACACAAAACTTTTCTCGAAAAAAATTATGGATTTCAAGTTTTTAGCGGAAAATTTGTGGCAACCTATCTTGCCGGAAAGTTTTTGATATCATATTTTTGACATAAAATTTATAGATTCACAATATTTGGCAAAAAAAATTCATGAAACCAAACTAAAATATTCTAAAATAAATATTTTCGTGGGAAAGTTACAAATTCATTTTTTTGGCGAAAAATTCATGAAATCAAAATTTTGCCTTGTAGTTTTTGGAATCATATTTTTGATGTAATTTTTTGGTGAATTTGTTTTATGAATTCACCTTTTGGCAGAAAATTCAAAAAATAGAAATTTTGATAAAATATTTTTGGATCATATTTTTGATGTAATATTTTTGGTAGGAAAGTTATATATTCATGTTTTTGGCAGAAAATTTGCGAAATCAGATTTTTGATGAAATTTTTTTCGAATCTTATTTTAACTAAGTTTTTGGCGAAATATTTACAAGTTCAAGTGTTTGTATGAAATTTGCGAAATCAAATTTTTAGAAAGAAACTTGTGGCAACCTATTTTGCCGGAAAATTTTTGATATCACATGTTTGACATAAAATTTATGAATTCACAATATTTGGCAAAAAGTTTATGAAATCAAATTAAAATATTCTAGAATAAATATTTTGGTGGGAAAGTTACAAATTCACTTTTTTGGCAGAAAACTCATGAAAATCAAAATTTTGAGTGGTAGTTTTGGTAATCACATTTTTAATGTAATTTGTTTGGTGAATTTGTTTTATGGATATATTTTTGGAAGGAAATTCACAAAATATGAATTTTGATAAAATATTTTGGATCATATTTTTGATGTAATTTTTTTGGTAGGAAAGTTACTTATTCATGTTTTTGGTAGACAATTTTTGAAATAGGATTTTTGATGGAAAGTTTTCTGAATCCTATTTTAACTAAATTTGTGGCAAAATATTTTCAAGTTCAAGTGTTTGTGTAAAATTTGCGAAATAGATTTTTAGAAGGAAAATTTCTTCACTTTTATTATCATCGTGTTTTGTCCCTCTATAAATAAAGAACAAAAGTTTTATTATATGTTAATATATTTCAATTATATACTGATTATTATGACGTATAAATGAGATGAAAGGTGACGGAATAGGATGAAAACTATGAAATATAAATAAAAAATAAAAGATAAAAAAATATAGAACAATTATTTATGTTTTTAAAGTATTTTATGTTTTGTGTATTTTTTTCTATATACAATATTTCAAACTTACTAAAATATTTTTTCACAAACCAATTTTTTTTATAAATATATTACTAAACAGATTAATCACTTATTAATTATAAATAATATATTATGATTAATTACTTTTTCTATCAAAATTTTAATGTCCGCACATATATGATGGCTAACTATCTAGTTTCAAAATATTTTGCATGTGGGTTTATTATGTGTGGAAAAGGAAAAATCAATAGGGCATTAATATAATTAACGGGCTTGGTTCGTTTGTAACCTTGTAATTACTTATATATTTGGA